TAGACATTGTTTTCGTACAAACTTTTGTTCAAGCAAATCCGAATATCTTTTTAATCGACTGATGGTGTGACTAAACGCAAATCAAAAAAAAAATTGATAATCCACACCGATAATCCAAACTGATAATTCCCCGTACAAATAATGACTCAGTTTTACTAATTTGTTATATTAAAAACAAGTTATAGCACTGCGTTGATAAGAATAACTTTTAGTAATGAATTTTTAGTTATTTATAATATTATAAATAATTCCATCTTAATTCTAACCAATTTTATATTAGTTCTGGTCGATTTATATTAATTTGACCGCTCTTCTTATGTAATTAACTTTCTGCATAGTTCTTATTTCCGGTCACCCTTTTACTTTTATAGATAACGGTTAAAACTCCGATCCTGAAGTTGAGATTCTTCACAAGACACCATATACCTTTTTCTTGGGGCAAGTAATCTGAATCCAAGTTAATTTGGTTCATTAAAGACGAACGCTGGATCCATGTTATCCTAATAAAAAGGGGTGTATGGATGCTGTCCCTCTCGTAACCTGATATCCAGGAGTGTCAGGAGTAAGTTGGATACAAAATTTTTTTATCCTAATAGGCGGGACGCTTAGTCTTTGTAAACATATTTAACGTATACCTGAACACTAGCACTTACAGAACACGAAGGTTATATTTAATTATATACTACTTTGGAGAATGGCACTTTTTGGTTCCATTAACAGCAATAATAATTATTTAAATATTATAAATCATATAATCGAAGAGATAGAATCGTGGAGTAGGAATGTTGGATTTGATCTAATCTTGCAACCAGAAATAATTAATAATTTATTTTAGCGAAAGTTCCGAACACGCAATTGAGGTATGAATAGTTCATTCGTGACAGTGAATTCTAATGTACAGTTAGTGGAATAAATTATTGGTCCATATTTTTTGATACCATTAGTTTATAAGTTAAAAAATGTATTTGAAACTGAGTTTGATTTTTCATTTAAGTCATCTAAGAAAGATACAGAGTGTTTCAAAAAAATTTTTTTTTCTTGTAATCAAACAAGTATTTATTATATTTATTTAATCATTGGAGTTGAAAACATACTAGTATAAGATTTTTATGTATAAACTAAGTTAATACTTGAATATTCATTACATATTAATAATCTCTAAACATGATCTTGGAGATAAATAAAATTATTTGCTCTTCTTCATTCCTAAGAGGATTTGAATTCATTGCTTGCAGTTTATTACTACAGTAACTTTATAAAGTTTTATAATATTTATTAATAAAAATATAGATCTAAAAAAATTCTGATTTTTTTTGCATTATATTATACTTTACTGAAAGTACTTGTTTTTTAACAATGTAGTAGTAATATAGTAATAATGTAAATTTTTTTAAAAAATAGTAATATAGCAATTATCAGGAAATTTTTTAGAAAGTTATTTATTGATAGTCAACCAATAATTGCTAATAATCGATTAATTATAATCAATTACTAGCGATTATTGGTTGACTATCGATTAATATCAAAAAAAAAAAATTGTTTATAATCGATTAATATTTATATTGATATAAATCATATTTTATTTTGTAAATAGATTTCAATTTTTAACAAAAAAGGTTATGTATCATTAAAAAACAATATAATTAATTTCAATAGTAATTGATTTTATTTGATTCCATAGATTAAAATTAAAATATATAATTA